TGCTACAGGCAGCCCAGGGGGCCGCCGAGGCCGCCGCCGAGCCCACAGCCGCCCCCGCCGGGGGGTCCGCCGCCGCCGAGGAGGCGCCTGACCTAATTTCCCCTCGGTCACGCGCACCGTGGCGCTCGCCGCGGGCAGCCCAGGGCGCCGCCGAGGGGTCGTCGTCTTCGCTGCCCCGCGCCCCCCCCCCACCCCCCGCCACCTTGCGCCGCCGAGCCGCGGCGTGCCCGAAGACGTCGAAGGCCGCTGTCAGGGCTTGCAGCGCGTCAGAGCCAGCGTCCGCCTCGGCCTCGGCCCACCGCCAGAGGAGAGCGGCCTCACCGATCCAATGGCGTCATGGGCGGGGGGTGCGTGCTCAGCAGCAGCGGCGGCGGGGCTGCCTGGGACCGGCGGGCGCCGCGGAGCCAGCCGCCTCTGCGAACGGCCGCGCCGCGCGCCCTGCAAGGCCGGCGTCCGCACGCAGAAGACTGTGCACCTCCACCCGGGCTGCGCGCCGCGCCCCGCCCGCCGCATCCGCGAGGGCAGCAGGTGGACTTCGCAACCGCCGCCGGGCCGCCGTCGTCGGCCGCGAAGCCGGCGTGTCCGAGCTGCGCCGCCGCGCCAGGCAAGCGCGCCGCCGCGACGGCCATGTCGTCGGCCAGGCGGCTGCGTCCCGTGGCCGTTTCGCAGACTCCACGCACGGCCGCGCCCATCTTGGCGAAGGCCTCTGCCGCCGCGACCCCGTCGTCATCGCCCAAGGCCGCGACGCCCTCGCGGACGGAGCGGGGAGCGCCACGGGGCCTCGACCACGACGACCTCCGCGCGATGGGGCCCGCCGGTGCCAGCGCCAGGATCGCCCCGCGGTGAAGCCCGTCACCAGCAGACTGGCAGTCCGCCCTGATTCGGAGGACGCCGTCGGGGCCAGGGATGCCCCGGCGCAGGCCGCGGGCTGCTGCCACGAGCTCGCCTGCCGAGGCCTCCCGTGGCGGGCGCCGCGGCACGCAGTCCCGCGCCCCCCTGGGCACCGCCGCAGCGCTGCAGGGCCGCGGCGCCCATCCCGCGCGCACCTCGGCCGAGCCGCCCTCCGGCGCAGCGTCGGCCCGTCGGCGCCGAGGCTGCAGACTGCGCCCGCCGGCACCGTGCAGCGCGCGGGAGAAGGCAGGATGCCCCCCCCACCTTGTGTCGGGCCTGTCCCCCTCTACAGGGGGACTTTCGACAGAAAAAAACAAGAAATACCACAGAAATGCCCCAAAGGGGAGCACGCATCTCCTCGACGGCGAGCGCGGGCGGGATGGCGCTCGTGCATGACAGGGCCAGTACCTCGGCTCCTCGCTGTCGCAGTCGGCGGCCGCGTCGGCGAACGCGCGCGGCGAGGCGTCGCCCGCGATGGCGTCGCGTCTCGCCGCTACTAACTAGCAGGGCCAAGCTCCACCGTGGGGGAGGGGGGGCGCGAGGGCCCGCGACGATCGGCGAAATAGTAACTAAAACACGACAACATCGAGGACATGGAGAGCTGGCGTCAGGGCGCCTTCGCCGCCTGCCCCGAGCTCCTGCGCGCGCCCCGTTGGCCACCGGCGGCGCCGACGCTGCGCAGAGGTGCGCCCGACGCAAAGCAGCCTGCCGGCGGCCCCGAGACGAGCGCGCACACCGCCGCGGCGCTCTGGCCGACCCTGATTGAAGGGGCCCTGGGACACAAATAAGTACACACAAATAAGATGATCCCCAGATTTCATCATATTTTCTGGGCTTTTTTGTCTTCCCCCCCACTTCCAATATTTTCCTATATTTTCTGGGGAATCGACGATTCATTGTGTCTGTGTGTTTTTTTTTCCCCCCCCTCCTGACTGCTGCAGCGCCGCCCGCGGCTGGCCGACACCTCGCGCCTCGCCGGGCGCCGATGGAGCCCAGCGCACCGAGCGAGGTGCCCGGCTCGCGCGCGCGAGTCGTGCCGCCTCCTCGGCCTCCTCGTAGGGGCCTGGAAGTGGGCACCCACACCAGCACAGGGGGCTGCTGAAACAAGGAACGATAAATGGGGAAGGAGACCCAGTCTCTGCCAAGTCGAGCCGTGAAATCCGAAGGAACGGCCGTCACATCCAAGGACACCCCGAGGGGGCTCGCCACCACAGAAGCAACGGAGCGCACACGGATCCAAGGAACCGCCGAGCCCCTTCCGACCTCGCGCTGGACCTCACTTCGACGAACTGACTGTAGAGGAGAGGGGAGGGGAGGGGAGGGGGCTGCCTCCACAAGGGGGAAGATGATCCTAGATTTCGGTGTTGGTGGTAACATTGCGGCCACCCTGGGAGCCCGAGTGGTTCCGCCATCGCCGAGATCGGGATCCTCTTCCCTCGGTGGAGGCGGCCCACCGAAATGGGTGTTGGTGTCAACCTCTAGGCCTGCGATTCTCGAGGCCGAGGAGCAGCGCAGCGCCAGGGAGCTTCTTGGCCCCCGCGGCACCGGCTGCCGGCGCCCCCGCCGCCAGGCCGGCGCCTGGGCCGAACGGCCAGGGCTCGCCCAGAGGGTGCCCACCGAGTCGAGGCAGAGCTTCCCGCCCTCCGCGGGCGTGGCGGCCCGCGCGCGGCCGGCAGCTGCCAACTGCGCCCTCCTGGCCTCGCGTGGACCCCGGGCTCCTTCTGCGCTGTGACCGGCGCCTCCTCGCTCCTGTCGGCTGAGGCCGAGGCAGGCTGAGGCTGAGGCCGAGGCAAGCCGAGGCAGGCTGAGGCTGAGGCTGAAGCTGAGGCAGGCTGAGGCTGAGGCTGTGGCCGCCGACTGCTTGTGCTCAGTCTGTCGAAGCGCAGCAGCGTGGCGTCGATGTCGCACAGATGGGCGCGCGACGGTCTGGCCTCCCGCTGCGCCTCGGCGAGCCCTGCGCCACCCGACTTTTGCACGTGCGGAGGGCGCGGCCATCGTGCCTCCTCTTGTCTGCCGCTGCTGTCCGGCTTGGCGATGAGCCTGCGCAGCTCTTCCATCCAGGCGTCGCCATCAATCGGCGGTGGACAAGCCTCCCTTTAGTAAACCTCCCTTTAATGAAAACGGCCTGGGACCGAACCCGACGGACCTGGACCCGCAAAAATGACGGCCGCGACGCCCTCTCGCGAACCGAAAACGGCCAATTCCTTAATCGACGTGTCAGGGTAGGAGGTCTGTCCACCCCCGAATCAAAGGGGCCCGCTCAATAATGGTGCCGAGCACCGCTCCCGCCCGCACGACACCCGCGCGGGGCCGAGCGCTGCCGCGCCTTCTGCCTGCCCTGCCCGAGGCGCCGCCGGCCTCGCGCCGCGGCGCTCTGCCGGCCCCGCTTTGGGGGCGGGGCCTCGCCGCCCCGCGGCCTCGCCGCCCCGCGAGAGAGCGGGGCCGGGCCTCGCCTCGATCCGCCGCCGCCGCCGCTGCCGCCGCCATCTCGCCATCGCTCGGGCGTCCCTTCCCCGTGCATTTTTTGTCGATTGCGTGCGTTGTTTGTCGATTTGTCGATTTCGTGGTTTTTTTTTTGTCGATTTCGTGCGTTTTTTTGTCGATTTCGTGCATTTTTTTGTCGATTTCGTGCGTTTTTCGATTTCGTGCGTTTTTTTTGTCGCTATAGGATCAAAGATGCTCCTCGATGGCCCTCGCCGAGAACAAATTGCGCGCACGTCCGAGCGATGCCAAGCCGTGCTTCCGGCGTGCCTCCAGGCGGAGGAGCCGCGGTGGCCGCCCGCCGCGGGGAGGCTGGCGCCCCTCCGCGGGGCCCGCGCGCGCAGGCGCCCGGCCTCGCGCCGCCCGCGGGCGACCGGTTCGCGCGCGGCGGTGGCGAGCGCACTCGCGCACGGCGATGCCTTCTGCCCGCAAAACAGCACAGTCGACGCGGAGGTAGCTCGCGCGCGTGCCGTTCGCGTCACGAGCCCGGTGGAAAGCGATGGTGAAGCAGCTCCGCAGCCCCGATCGAGAGGTGGGAAGGCCGACGCTGCACAGTGCAGCGCTGTACCGCCCATGCCGAAGCAGCGCCCCAAGATGTTGCTGCGCTTAGCCATAACGCGGGAAAGCTCGCGTCAGCCTGGCTGACGCACCAGGACCTCTCGAGTCAAGACTGCGACAGGGGGATGATGCTGCTGGTGATGACACATACGGGGAATGAGGAAGAGAGCCACGAGCATGAGCGTGAGCATGAGGAGGCCGAGGATGGGAAGGTACATGAGCAGCAGCAGCGGCAGGAGGAGCAGGGGGAATGGATTGGGACGAACGAGGACTAGGAGTTGGGTGAAACGAAAGGGGACGAGGATGAGAAAGAGGCGGTCTAGACGTCGGTACGTGGCCTGCGTGAAGCGGGGGCGAGGAATCAAAGTGTGGGGATACACGACAGGGTATAGCCTGCATGGAGCCAGCTAGCGGCGGATGGGGAGAATGAGGAAGGGGAATCTGTGGAGAAGGGGGGGAAGGAACGGCAGAGGAAGCAGCGGGGGACTGGCACGTGTGCTGGTCTGGCTCTGCGCTACATTGCAACTGGCCAGACAAGACTGCGGCAGAAGTGCGGAACGATGCACTTCCTCTGTGTTCATCGATCCCAATCTCCAACTCCCCGTTCCCGAGGACTCCTGGGAATCGAAAACAAAACGACATGGGTCCTGCCCCGTAGCGAGTCCTGGGAATATGTGGATTGATCCGCCTCCCAGATCCCGCATAAAGATGGTGTCGTGAGCTCCCCTCGTGACACTTCCCGACGCCGTGAGTTTCTCACGACGTTGGATGTCTAGATCCCCCTACCTAGAGCTGGATTTAACTAGGCCAGCCATACCCGATATCTTTGAATGGAACGTGGCAATTGCAGAATAATGATCAGCATCAAGACGAATGTGCATCAACAACTAGACCGTAAGAGACCACACGTGCACCTAACACTCACGTGACCTTCCGCACGACACAGACGTGGAACACGAAATGCCGTGCTCCCGCTACTGTCGCACAGCATACTTCCAACCCATCTCCCTGCAGGGCTGAATCTTATGCTCGCTTCCTCTCCGTGGCTTCTGCGCGTGCACCCCACCGACCACGCGCTCTTTCTCTCGAAGTCGGCTTGCAGTGGATCTGCCGATAGTGCTGGATTGCCTGATGGGAGGGGGGGGCTCAGGACGAGGAGGAGGAGGGAAACAAGCGAAAAGCAAGACGATGAGGGGGACGATCAGCTGCCTCGATGGAGGATGAGGGGGGGAAGAAGCGAGAAGTAAGACGATGAGGGGGACGATCAGCTGCCTCGAGCTCCAGAGTCACCCCCTAGCGGGAGGGCTCCTGGGAGCATCCGGAACGGAAGCACCCGGAGCATCCGGAAGCGAAGTGCTCCTGGTCGCAGCGGTGCCCCAAGAGAGCCCCCCCCCCCACCACCGTCCCCACCTATTGGGAAGTTGCTTAACAGGAAGGCGGTACACGGGGGGGGGGCGCAGAAACGTGCACCTTTCGTGCCCCCCCTGGGCCCCAGGAGGGACCTTTTTTGGCGCCCCTGAGATGCACAACAGGTGCACCGTTCTCCCCCCCCCATGTATAAAGGGGGCCCAGGGACACACAAATAGATAGACACAAATCCAAGGATTCCTATGTTGTCAATGTTTTTCTCCAACTAGGTTTGCCCTATAGGAGTCCTAGCTCTTGCCCCCCCCCCAAATTCCTATGCCCCCCCCGAATTCTTATGGATATGACTATGCCTCCCCCTAACTCGTATACCTACGCCTATGCGCCTATGCCTATGCCTGCTTGCTTGCTTTCACGCTTCCTTGCTTGCTTGTTTGCTTGCTTGCTTGCAGAGTTGCGGATTCCAAGCATGCCTGATTTCTCTGATTCCTTGATTTGAGTCGTCCAATCTATTTGGAGTCAACGCTGGGTGATATCTCTGTTTCCGTCTTCCCCCCCAATTCCTAGATTTTCCTGGGAATCGACAATGCATTCATTGTGTCTGTGTGCGTTTTCCCCCTCCTGAGTGTATCGCCCCCCCATGTACGCAACGCCCCGGCCGGCTCTTCTGGAGCACCATCGGAGACCACTGCTTCGTCCCCGTGCGCTGCCCGGAAGCAGGAGGCACGCCCGAGCCGCTCCAGCACCCCGCGCGTGGCCGACCAGCGTCCTGGGCCAATGCCAGCACGCCTCGCCTCGCCCAGCCTCCCTCCGCGCCCGCGGTGCGCTGCTCCGTGGGGTCCCTGCCAGCACTTCTCGCCTGCCGCGCGCCTGCGGCACGAGAGTCACCTTTTACTGGGGGGCGAAGCACGGCAGCAAACGTTCGGGCGTCCGCGCGGACTTCTGTTGATCGGCGCTGGGCCCCCCCGTGGCGCGCGGCGCGCGCTGTAGGGGCGGCGCTGGAATCGCCGCGACGGGTGGGCCGAGCGCCGACGCAGGACGTCCGCGCGGAGCTCCGCAGGGTTATGCTCGTGCCGTTCTTCCCTCTTCGATGGCTGGGCCGTGCCCCCCCCCCCGGCGTGCTATCAGCGTGGCGTCAGGCGGTGCAGCCGGCGGCCACCGAGCCGTGACTGAGAACGCAGCGCCCAAAGCCGCAGCGCGCTCTGTGCGCGCTCGCATCGGGGAGACGTACGGAATCGGGTACGGGGCACCCGGGTTGGCCTGACGGGGCCATCATAAGAATGACGAGGCCCATCCTGAAATTTGACGCGAGCTCCCGCTGCAAACACCTCACGAGAGGTGGGCCGTCAGAATCCAGGACGCGCTCGTGAAACAAACGTCGGCAAACCCGCGTTCCCGCTTGCTCGAGTCCTACACTTCCGCGATCATAGTTCTGTAAGTCTTGGAGCCTATGGGTACAATTCCGCCGAGTAGCTGGCCCCGAAACGCCGGACATCGAAGGACCTGGGCCGCCGATTGACTCGGGCGGGCAGGCAGGGAGACCCGCACCAGCACGTGACGTGGCCGCGACGGGCCGGCAACACGTTTTCTCACACTCCACCCACCCTGCGCCCTTGCCGCATTGCCTTCCGTCCTCACTCGTCCTCCCCCCGGCGAGTTTCCGAGGGCAGAGCATACGTTGTCTCACGCTCCGTCCGCCCTGCGCCCTTGCCGCAGTGCCTTCCTCCCTTGCCCGTCCTCCCCCGGCGAGTCTCCAAGGGCAACAAGCCTATACGAAAGGCTGACGTTGTGACGAAGATGCCAGCGTTGGTTTCTGACACCGTATGTACCGGTCAGCCTTGAACGATCTTGGCTTTCCGATATAGTCGGCCCGTATCACAAAGACGCGGTAAGGATGCAAGGGCCTTGGAAGGCCGTTTCGAAGCTTTTCGATCGGAGCGCGGCCAGCGAGAGTCGCCAAGGATGGACCGAGGAGGCAAGGATGCAAGGGTATCTTCGGGGAAATTGCCCATCCATACTACAGTGCGGGCGCGGCCGCAAGAAACCCTCGTAAGAAACCCAACCCTGGAAACCTGCGCGCGAGGTGCACCTGAGGGGAAACCCGGAGCACCCTGAACGCAGCAGCTCCTTCAACGGCTGCGGGAAGTCACCGCGCAGCGCGCGGAGCGAAGAAACCCAGGGTACCCTGACGAAAAGCAGCTGGCTTCTTGATGCGCGCCCCCACTGTATGCGGGTTGATTGCAGTGCAGATCGTTCGACGCCAGCCGATTCTGGGACACTGGCATTCGACATGGAGGAGGAGGAGGAGGAGGAGGAGGAGGAGGAGGAGGAGGAGGAGGAGTAGGAGGAGGAGCAAGAGGAGGAGGAGAGGAGGAGGAGGAGGAGGAGGAGGAGGGAGGAGGAGGGAGGAGGAGGAGGAGGAGGAAGGAGGAGGAGAGAGGAGGAGGAGGAGGAGGAGGAGGAGAGGAGGAGGAGGGAGGAGGAGGGGAGGATGGAGGAGGAGGAGGAGGAGGAGGAGGAGGAGGGAGAGGGAGAAGGATGGAGCGCCCCCGCCGTGGTCACCGCCGCGGCGACGCTGCGCGGGCATGCCGTGCGCCCACGGTGTGCGGCATGGGAACCCAAGGGACTGCCGCTTGCACAGGGCATCCGCTGGATCCTCTCGATGTCCAGCGCGTGCCCCGCACGATTGGCAGGGCCACCGCGGGCTCGCGGACGAAGGGAACGAGGCGACGGAAGGAGGGGAGAACACGGGACGAGCACGACCGAACGTAGCCAGCACCGTTGGAAAAGGGCTCTCGCGCTGTCGGGTGCGTCGTTGTCTGTCTGGTACAGTGCGCGGGGGAGGCAGTGCCTCTACGGAAACAGATTCTGGCACGGGCGCGCAACGGGAACACTCGGCACTGCGCGGCCCAGGAGCGAAGCACGAAGCGACCAGAGGCTCAACATGAACGACTACGAAAGGGAGAGAAGGAAGATGCGGACCAAGAGGGGCCATATACGGAGGGGACACATGAGGACACGGAGGAAAGGGACACACAAAGAGTGCACACCATACCGCACGGCAGGAGACGGAGGAAGGTGAGGAGGAGAGGGGTACACTTCCATGCGGGGACACACAGACACATAGCGTCATATCGGCAGCCTTCTCTGAGCCCCTCGGGCGCCCTCGGGGGGCTTCTCGGAAGCCTCCTGGCAGCCCCTCCTAGTTGACGGCGATGTCACCAAGGACGCCTTGAGGCCGTCGTGGCCGTGAGGGGGGATCCATATGCCCTGGGAAGTAGCTCTGGGGCCGGCGTGGGGGGTCGTGGGGCCGCCTGGGTACGTCCTGCAAGCCGCCGTGGCGCGGCCCGGGGCTGCCCCGAGCTGGGGCCCACGTGGGGCCCTCTGTCTGGGGGCCTCTGGGGCGCGTGGGTGCCTCTCTGGCCCTCTTGGGGTGCGTGCGGGGGAGGGCGGCCTTCCGGGGGGGGGGGGGGGGCCGGCCGGCCGTCGGGCTCCTCGCCGAGGGCACTCGCGGCGCGCTCGCAGACCTCCGCGGGAGCCCCGTGAGGCCACTCCCAGGAGGTGAGCGCTTTTTGGTTCTGCGTCTCGACACTGGGCGGGATCGGGGGAAGGGATGGGGGGGGGGCTCTGGCTCCGGACCTCTGCACAGTGCGGCTGTTTGGAACGGTGCGTCCTATGGGGAGGGTCCCCACCTGCTCGAGGCAGGCGCCAAAAAAAGCCAAGATCCACTCCAGGGGGGGGGGAGGGGGGTCCGAGGGCCCGCGCCGATCGGCAAGACAACGAGTAAAAAACGATCACAAGAAAGAGTCCAGACCTGGTGCTTGGATGACCGCAGTTGTTGCTAAGGGGATCGGTTAGGAGGCAACTACTGGGAGGTCTTCGTCGGAGGGATTCGGGAGAATTGAGCCCCTCGGTAGGGCTACTGCGCCAGGTTAGGCCGCGGAATAAGCGGGATTAAACCGGATTATACGGGAATCAGCCAGATTGCGCGAGATTGAACTGGATTGACCTGGAGTTCGGACCACGGCAAAGTCAGAATATGACCTCCCAGGAGTTGCATCCGAGGATCGAAGGTTATAAGTTGATGTGGAGGTGGGCTAAATCTGGCCTGGGTGGGGCGAACGTGCTCAAGAAACTGGGCCGGCTTCCCGCCGAGTCGGTTAAGAAACATTGGCGCAGCTTTTCGAGAGGAGGTCCCTTAATCAGATGCACGACTGTGGCTTCTGAGCGGGTTACGCATGCCCCACGCAGCATGCAAGGGCTACGCACATGCCGTAAGTGGGCTCCGGCCACTTAGCCCAGATCTTTGCCCCCCCGCAAGCCGCTTGGGGCACCTGCAGCCCACTCATGAGTTACGTTAGGTCAGATACAACTTACCTCAGCATTCCCTGACGGCCACCCCATCTCTGCACGGTTTCCCCCGGGGCCGTAGGCGACCCGAGGAGGAGGAGGAGAAGGAGGAGGAGGAGGAGGAGGAAGAGAGGAGGAGGAGGAGGAGGAGGAGGAGGGATGATGATGATGATGATGATGATGATGATGATGATGATGATGATGATGATGATGATGATGATGATGATGATGATGATGATGATGGAGGAGGAGGAGGAGGAGGAGGAGGAGGAGGAGGAGGAGGAGGAGGAGGAGGAGGAGGAGGAGGAGGAGGGCGGAGGAGGAGGAGGAGGAGGAGGAGGAGAGGAGGAGGAGGAGGAGGAGGAGGAGGAGGAGGAGGAGGAGGGAGGAGGAGGAGGAGGAGGAGGAGGACGGGTCGCCTGAGCCCTTCGGAGAAACCCTCCACCCATCCTCGGAGCACCCCCCGCGGTCATCCGCGCGGGGCACTCTGGGACCGTCGAGGGCCGTCCGGGGAGCCCCAGAGGCAAGCTCCTGGAGAGGAGCAGGGCACTCGCGTGGGCCGGCTGCCCCCGGGCCGGCGGAGCGCGCATGGGGAGCCCCACCGACAACCTCCCCCAGCGGGCAGGTTCGCATAATGAGGGCCACCCCGCTCGTTTCGGCCCAACAGGGAGCCCCACCGGCGACCCCCCAGCGGGCAGGTTCGCATAGGGTCCCCCCGCCCGTTTCGGCACACCTCTCACACGGGTCGTGCCCCACAGGGAGCCCCACCGACGATCCCCCAGTGGTTGGCGGCGCGCACAAGGGGGTAGGGGGATGGGGGGAAGTCTTCTTAGAGAAAGGCTGCTTCTCAAAGCCGCGGGTTTTTCATCTCTCTCTCTCTCTCTCTCTCTATATATATATATATTAGACAAGGCCCGCGCCTTCCAAGAAGCAGGGGTGCTTCTAAGAAGCCTTCCCCCATCCCCCCACCCCCTGGGCAGACCCTGGGACTCGCCATCGCTCGGAGGTCCATTCCCCGTGCATTCTTCGATGTCGTGCGTGTATTTTCTGCCTCGAGGGCCCAAGAGGCTCCTCGATGGTCTTCGCCGAGAAAAAATGCACCCGTCCGAGCGATGCCAAGGGGAGGGGAAAGCGCCGCTGCTGGTCGTGGCGGCCCTCGCGGGCATGCCCATTCAGCCTCCGGCGGATGCCAGGCGTCGCCTTCGAGGCCGCCTCAAATCCTTGGATCCTCGATCCTGGAGGTTCGAGGATGTGAGCATTTTCTTTTTCGGCGTATCGACATTGGGCGGAAGGGCGGGAAGGGGGGGGGGTCCGGCTCTGGACCTCTGCTCAATGCGACTGTTTGAAGCAGTGCGTCCAATGGGGGAGACTCCACCTGCTCAAAACGGGCGCCAAAAGCAGCCAGGATCTACCCCATGGTGGGGGGAGGGGGGGTGGGCGAGGGCCCGCGCCGATCGGCAAAACAGTGAATAAGAAAACGATCACGATCGAACACCACTGTTCTTGGACGCGCTGGACTCTTTGGGAGCCTCGGGGGCCTTCGGAGGGCTCCGGTGGTCTGGCCTCCGAAGGCCGGGCTCTGCACACGCGAGCGAGGAGCGCGGAGCGCAGGAGCTGAGCTTGCAGACGTCGAGAGCGTTGAGAGCGAGACCGGTGTGCCCAGTAGAGGCCAGGCCCCACGCACAGAAGCCTCGGACGGCATCCTGCCGTTTTGGACTCTGACGGGTGTCTATCAGTGCGTTCCAGACGCCTCTGGCTCAAGGTAGGGGAAGCCATCTCGAGCTCCAAGCTCCAATCTTCTCTCTCTCTCTCTCACTCTCTCTCTCTCTCTCCGTTGCCCTTGGTGACCGTCCATCCTCTGAAGGTCGCCGCTGAGTTTGCTCTGGGCACTTCCGGAACAACCCGATACCCGCTGCGAATCCTACAAAAGTGTGGTAGACCCGTGCTAATCTCCTCCTAGGATCCTGTTCATCCTCTCAGCCCTGTCGCCGCTACGAACATGTCCCGGTTCATCTGGCGCAGCGTGTTCTTGTCGAACATCCTTCTTTCACACTTTTC